AGGGTGTAATGGGAAGATGATGTGTCACAGCCCAGTCATCTGGCTCCAAGTCAGTTCTGAGGTCGCTTTGACACCAGGCTCACCACCTGCCCCCTGGATCAGGCCCACAAAGCAGCCTGCTCCTTTAGTCCTGAGTCTATCAAGCTACGGTGACAGTAACAAGGAGGGCAGGATGAGGCAGTCACAGGAGAACGAACGCTCAGATGATGATTTTTCCCCATAGAGCTCTTATCACATGATCACTTAGACATAGCTCAGCTCCTAAGAAACAATCTTCCAAAACAATAGGATTGATCCTCTCTCTTCTCGAGTTCTCAATATGGAGTAAAAAGAACAGAGGACTGAGGGTCAGTACAGCTAATTCTGGCTAGCACCTCATGACAACGTCTTCAGCACGCCATGTTACTTCTCAGGGCACTCCGTGCCCTGAACGATAAAACAAGATCAACAGAGAAGAGTTAAGATGGGCACTTTTGAGGTTCTACTGCTTGAAGCCCTGAGTGTTCTCCAGGGCTCCTTGGTCATGAGCTATCTCAAGCTGCTGCCCCAACTGCCCAGCTAGTGAGGAACATCATTTTTACCTGCTGTACACGCAGCTCCCCTGTAAACTTTCACAATGTAAAAACAAAAAAGGGCCAAGGGATTATTAGAATCCTTCCCCTCTGAATAAAAAGGCATATAACTTAATGCCCTCTGCCTTTGTTGAGGATTTATTTTGTTAAAATTATCCTAACTCTGGATTCTCATCAGTGAAAATCAGTTGAGACAGTTAATAATTCTCAATAATTAACCTTTTGGGCCAGGTATTTTCCCTCTTGTGGAGGTTGTCCTGTGCACTGTAAAGTGCTTAACAACATCCTTGACCTCTGTTTACTGGGAGCCAGTAGCATTTGCAGCTACCAAAATGTCTCCAAGCATTGCCAAGTGTCCTTTGGGGAGCAACATCATCCACAGTTGACCATCACTGTTCTACCCCCAACAAGAGCAATCTTTAGAAAAAGAAACCTTTTGGATAAAGAAAGATAAAAACGACTCACACTGTCCTGACTTATCAGAGGTCCCACTCAGAGAATGACTGACAGACGAGGGATGGAAGGGCAATATTAAAATCTCTGTTGTTGTTAAGTGCCGTCAAGTCGGTTCTGACCCACAGAGACCCTGTACAGGGTTTCCACTACATGTCAAATGTTAATGGAATATTTAATACTGTATAGAAAACTCACATAAAGGAATTAATTGGAAAGATATAATGAAAATAAAAATAAGTATATAAAAAGGATTGTTGTTGTTTTGTTGTTAAGCGCTGCTGTTGAGTAGGTTCTGACTCACAGTGACCCGGTATCAGACTTCCAAGGAGTAGCTGGTGAGTTTGAACCACTGACTTTAAGGTTAGCAGCCCAGCGCTTATCCTACAGCGCCAGACCAGGACTCCTATTAAAGAGATAGTATTATTAATGTTTAGGCCTCAGAATGCAATGAGAAGTAAACGTAAGGTGACTATCTAAACTTATGCCACAGAAGTTCCGTCTCTTTATGCAGCAAGGCTGGCTTACCTGTATTTTTCAAAAGAATCATAAAACCTACTTTCTAGAACAGATTGGAGGGAAACAGCTGTTGTGCAAATGTCCATTTTAAATTTAATTTTCAATTAAAATAAACATCTCTGGATCACCATTTGTCTCAAATCAACAACATTCGATAGCAAGAATCTGACAGCTTGCTAACTTTATATGATTTACGGAGAGTAGCATGAAAGAATTCAAATGGACTGTGAGAACTAACCTTCTATCTCTCTGATTATAGTCAAGTTTCCTTAATTGATTATTTGGGAAGGGACCAAAATAACTGCTTGCTTTAAAGGCACTGAAAATAATATTTCAGTACATGGTCAAAAGTGATCACACCTCCCGAACTTCACTGAGACAAACAGCTGAAGCATGTCTTTCCTATTTAACCACAGGAATCAGCTACCTGAGCGAAGCTCCACCACTCTCCTCATTATCATCTGTATGCGCACTCTCCCCTCCTCCACACTTTCTCCCCAAATCAGCAGATGCCATTTCAAAACATTTTTAAGACAAAGGATCAAGTTTTCAGTCTGAAAAGCAAAATTAAGGGATCCTGTGATTTTAAAGCAGACATGTGACTTTAAGGCATAATCTTGCCGGTCAGTTAAGATGGAGAGTGTGGGGTGAGTCTGACCCACAGGTTTGGCTCCAGGTGCCACCAGTCCTGCACCTGACAGTCAGCTGTTGAGATGAAGCAGACTTCTGTACTTTTGAGATTCTTGATCTAAGATGCCATTTATAAGACTTGACCCGTTAAGGGATGAAGGCTCAGTACAGCCGCAGGATCTCGCATCTCAATCCTCTGTGTCCTCGGCACTATCAGGGATGTGAGTTCCCGCTCCTGTCGGTTCTTAGAGGCGCACTGTGAAGATCACAGGGTACTGGGCAGTTTAGGTCTAAAGTCAGTGTATGCAATGTTTTCTTACCATTATCCATGCACGATTTATACAATGGTCTGCGTGCACACGATACAGTATAAAAGTTCTTTTGAAGTCTAAGTGTTACATAAATATTTGGTATGGATGTTACACTGGCTAGAGTGCTGACTGGTGAAGGTGAATGAGGAGGTGATATTTTCTAGAGGTGAAACGAGTCTGTAAGGGGGAACGTATGAAAGACCTTTGGGGAGGTGAGATGTATACAAGAAGGCTTCAAAAAGTTAGTGGAAGAATTCCATTTTTCCACACAGTTTTTAAGTCTCCTAGTACAATGTACATAAATTGCTTAGTACACCGATGACATGCTATACAGTCTAGCTGAACTGACTAGTTTCTGATCTGCCATGACCGTGAAATCAAGTTTGGCGGGGCCTAGTGGAAGGCTGGCCATGCCTTGAATATGACAACACTGTGCTCTGAACAGAAGCAGCCACCGAAGGCAGGGGTAGAGGAGAGTCTCTCTGATTTTTATCACAGTGCCCCTTGCCCCCACTCAAAGCAGTCAAACATCCAGAGTCGCCTTACACTCCAACCCACTGAAACTTGTCCTGGTGATAATGAGAAGGACACCACCTCCTACCTAGTCATTAACTGAAATTCTTCTCTGTAGTGTCATCATCAGACATTAACATTCCCGATGCAGAAGTGTTGTGCCACTCAGTCCTAAAGAAGACGGTGCCTTTGCAATCCAGAAGGAGCTTCATACGACCTGAAAGCAGCATGCTCACTGTCTTAGGCTGTCCAATCAGCTGGATCCACTCAGCTAACACACCTTTGATGAAGCTGGACCATTAAGGGAGGAAACACTCTTTTTACAGATCCGTGCTCCCCTCTTCTACAAACCTTAATATGAACTCAATTCTTACTGGGATGATGGGTTTTTAAAAATATAATAATGATTAAATTAAATGATTTGTCTTGATTTGTTTTACTTGTTTAGCAAAGTCTGACTGATACGCCTTCCTCCCAGTTGAAAGGGGAAATGTCATCATGCCATTGTGTAGAGTGACCGCAAGAAAACCCAAGCAGCCAGGTGGTGCTCTCAAGCTCCTGGCCCTTGGGACTGACTGCAGCTGCACAAGGCACAGATATGGGGACTCCTTTATGGACAGTAATCAGCACATGGAGCTTCTCAAATTCACGGTTTTACTCCTTGAAAGCTGAGACCGTATCTGTTCTTTAACAAAACCCTTACTCCAGAAAAAAGGGCTTAATAAAAATTCCTGTCTATTCTGACGAACTTCTTCCCCAAACAATACTGTGGTTTCTGTCAAATGCCTTTATTGAGTTGAAAGTTCATGGCATTTTACAATGTGTCCTGAATTTAGCCACAGGAACAAACATTTCCAGCCTTGTTTTCTGACTTCCTGCTAACAGAGTCCTGCTCTCCAGCCCCAGGTGCTAAGCTCTCTCGTGGTGGTGGTGGTGCTGGTGGTGGTGTTACGCTGGTAGAGTCAGTTCCTGCTCACAGTGATCCTGCAGAGAGTTTCCGAGGCTGTAAATCTTTGTGGGAGCTGAAACCCTCCTCTTTCTCTCACAGAGCATATAGTAGGCTCAAACCACCGACCTTGTGATTTGCAATCCAGTGCTTACCCTACAGTGCCACCACGATCTCTTAGTGCACAGTTCCTTTGTAATCTTTCATATCTCTGTCATTGTGTGACATTGTATCTATCTTAAGTTTCTAGAAGGCAGGGGTGTTTTCTCATCTAGCGCAGTGCCTAGCATGTGGTCAAGGCTGAGTGCCTACCTGCCAGCTGCCAGCTATTGTGTCAGCATGACTGGATCAATCAGTGATGTTACTGAATGATACACAAACTATACCATGAAACTGAGCTATTAATTTGCATTGCACTAAAATGTCATCACAAACCTGAGGCATAATGAAGGACCACTGAACTAAGAAAAGCCACAAACAAGTCTTTGACTTATAGCTGAATCAGATTCAATTCCTAACCAAGCAGGAAGACCTTAGTTTCACTGTTGATGTCAATCAAAGCTCCTGGGATCTGCAAACACTGGATCTTGTACCGAGAGCATCTGTGAGTTCCTGATGCTAGGATGCCAGTGGTTCTCCACCTTGGCTGCACATTACAGTCACAGGAGGGACTTTCGAAACTCCAACAAACAAAACCATGTTTAGGAGCTATCTCACACCGAGAGAGTACCTGGGAGGTAAAGCCTGCTCAAGAGCATCTTTACAAATTAGTACCCTGAGTATCTAGTACGTGTGCAAGGATGGAAGCCTTTGGCCTAGATGGAGTTCAAAGCTTTTACCAGGTCTAGGCCAAGCTTGGAGTGCACTCTAGAGAGAGAGGGGACATTAACAGAGGAGTTCTAGAAATACAGCTATGGGCCTATGGGAAACCACATGAGATCACAATTTCTCCCAAGATGCTTCTACACTTAAAGCAATTTGCTGGTTGGATGACTAAACAATGAGTACCTAATTCTGTTACCCTTAAAATGTAGCTGCTTCAAGGAAGAATGGACATCAAGGAAGTAGTGCCCACAGCAGTAATTCATCTAGAGACAGGAAGTTATCCCTCAGTACCTTTTTGGCTTCCTCAGCTGTGACAGAGCTTCCCGAGGCTTCATCTTTGCTGATCAGAGTAATTCCATCTATGAAAGTAAGTCATAGAGTAAAATTATTCAAAGACAATGAGATAACCCAACACCATCTGTCCTCTCCATCAAACCTTCGCCTAGCTTTGGGGCTGGGGGTTCTCAAAACTATAAAGGTGTAAATGACACTGAGCTGCTAAGTTTCTTCATTGATATACTTCCTTCTACCTTACTTCTCTTCCATTTTTACTTGTGCAAAATAAAGGTCACACCTCAAAACATGGACTGCTCTATGAAGCTTTCTTTGACCAACTCCTTATAGAAATGATCTCTGCTTTTCAGAATTTTCAAATTGATTTGTTTATCCCTTTGAAATGGCTGTCCTAAGTATCTTACAGAACTTTATGTACATTTTTATCTCTCTTAACAGATCATATTTTTTCTTGAGAGCAGGAATCAGGTTTAATTCTTCTTTATATCCTCAATGCTGCACACAGCGCAGGCTCAATGAATAAATGATGAATGAACAAATGTGTACTTTTGTCCAAACTCAGTGAGGTGGGAATCTGTATACATGGTGACTCCCAGCAGCATTCCTGGCTAGTGATGGGGCTTGAGAGGATTGAGGTTTAGAAGGAAATGTCTTTGATAATGACCACCACTTAGGTTAGCTCAGTGAGAACGAATCAAGATTAAAAACCTACCCTTGTTTATTGTTCTCTTCTTCCTCAGTTTTCCTCTGATCTTAAATGACAGATCTGTGATAGACTTTCAGAAAAGCACCTGCATTTAACATCCATTTGTTCCCAGAAATGGCACAAGTCATGTGTGTTCTCTCAGGAGGATATAAGCTCTTAGAAAATATGTATCGTGTGTATGTCCTGTAAGTTTCCTTTCTGCAAATATTATGCAAGAGACATTCAATAAATACCAAAGCCAATCTCTTTCATCTACTGGGTCTGCAGCAGAGACACAAAAGTGATTTGAGTAAGCCCCATTCACTACCTACACTAATTGCTTCCATTCCCCAGTGTAGAAGTTAAGGGGCTGAAAAATTAACTGTCAGGGAATGGTTGCCTGTGTGATGAAAACCTGCCCACTAGAAGCTAGAGAGGTAAGTAGTCAACAACTTTTACACAGAATTTGCACAGAAAGAAAAGTCTAAACTAATCTGGGGCCCTATTATAAGTGAAAATTTTCATAATACCTTTTTAACATTTATTGTTTTCACAACATGCATTTTATCTAAGAAAACCAAGTGAGGTTAATATGAAATGGGAGAAGTACATGAAAGGAATCACTCATCAAGCCTGAAACTGAAAGGCCGATGTTGCCTCTTTCTGGCTTTAATTGGCATCGGCCGGCTGTTGTGGAAAAGCCAAGAACATGGCTGTGAAACAACAGGAGGAGGAGGAAAACTGACCTACGAATCTGAGAAAGGGGCAGTGTTTGCCCAGATGCTTTCTGCATCCAACACATAGTAAGGCACAGTCTTGGAGGGGGGACTTCCATGTTTACTATTATTCCCTACCCTAACAACAACAGCATTTATCCTGGTGTGGCCGCTGCAGGATAATGCACTGGACCACAAGGTCGGAGGCTCTAACTCATCAGACACTCCTCAGAAACCCTTTACTGGGTTGCTCTACGTAGGAACTGCACGGCACTTAACAACATTTATGCTTAACAAAGAAAGTTTTGAGTTCCTTGGATCTTGAGCATTTCCCAAATCCAAACTATGTCAGGTCCCCACATAACACAACACAAATTTCATTCATATTAAGAATTTGCTATCTCATACATATCAACAATTTCTATTCCTATTTAATTTATACTTTTGTTGTTGCTAAGTGCTATCAAGTCGGTTCTATCTCATAGGAAACCCTGTACAGTGTTTCCAAGGAGAGGCTAGTGGGCTTGAACCACCAATCTTGTGGTTAACAGTCCAGTGTTTATCTTACAGCGCCACAGCAGGATTTGTAAATTATAATCAGAAAACAAAATAGTGCAAGTGTTTGCAGAAATAGACAAGTGACAGCTTACCATGAACGACAATATCCCAGAAGTGATTTAACTGTTTCACGAGTACTTTCTCTTGAAGGGCTTTCAGGAAAGTGTTAAAGCGCTTCTCTTCTGAAGACTGTAGTGGGACATAAAGGCAAGTCATGAGGAAATACAAAATCAAAGTCATCTCCAGATCAAAAGCACTCAATTCTGAGGTCAGCATATTTGTAAAAATAGATAGTATGTTCTGCTTTGGTAAGTGATTAACTGGCATTCAAATTCAGCTGCTTAACTGGAATGAGAAATTCTTCCAGGGTGGAAGGCCCAGTGTCTCATAGAAGCCACACAGGATTTTTGGAAGCCTGGTACTGTGTTTTGTTTTTTGAACTTCTCATAGACAAATTCAAATAAAAGCAGAGAAAACAGTTTAATAAATGTTCATGTATCTGCCACCAGCTTCAATAATTATCAACTTAGTCAATCTTGCTCTTTAATACCCTTACCGTTTTCTTCCCCACAACTGCCACTCTTTTGAAGAAAATCTCATATTATTTCAACTATAAAAATTTCAGTATATAATATATAAGATATGAACTCTTTGTAAAAAACATATTAATGCACAATTATCATAGCATCAAAAGGTAATAAGTAATTCCTCAATAGAAGCAACTAACCTCGTAAATCATTCTTCCTCTTTAAAAAAACTTTTTTATAGTTCAAAAATGACCCATACATTATGATTGACTGGTATGGCTCCAAATGACTTTTTTTCCCCCTCCCTTTCTTTTAGGAGACCCAGTAACCTGTCCCTTTTAAGAACATACAACGAAAAGCTAAATGACAGGGATGAAACATCCCATCCATCTACCTCCGCATCTTGACTTCCCCCCAGTAAGTAATAGCTAAATGAGGTTAGTCACCTCTACCTCTCTTGGTATCTGTTACTCTGCCCAGTGGAAATGATTACTTCCAAAGCCTATGCTTGTTTATGGGAGGCTGTACATCTCTTCACTATGGTGGGGTCAACTATATAGGAGGAGAAGACAGGTTAGGAGAGCATTACCTGAATGGCTTCTTCCCGGAAGGCTTTAATGCAGTCTATGCTCTTCATAAAATACAGTGTCTCATTAGTATCCAAAAACTGTTCAATGTGACTTATTAGCTGGAGACTCACTAGAACACAAAACACGGATGAATTTTGATTTGCGTGGAGCTTGTTAAAGAGTGTATGGATAGTGTGTCTACATGGTGCTAGAGCCTCCTGGTCAGCATGCACAAGTAGTACACATGTTGTGAGAAGCTGAGTTATGTTAAGATTCAAAATACTAATGTCAGACAGACTTCTAGGAAAAGATGGCAGACTAGGCAGACCCGCTGAACAGCCCATCTGCCACCAAGACATGGTAGACTAAATGAAACAGACCCAAATGGTGAACCTGGACCCCTGAGCTTCAGAGGCTAGGACAGAGAGATCGACTGAGTAGAGACTGGAAGAGGATATGGAACAGGAACAGCCCAAGAGAAGAAAAGCAGGTGGACTGCAGGTGGCCAGGAGCAGCAGTCATTGAGCTTTGGGAAGTGGCTATAATACAGCAGCCTGCAAGCACAGGATACGGCCAGAGGTCGGTGGTAAGGGGGGTGAGGTTCTCTCGTTCTTGTGCTCTCCTAGTAGCCCAGGGGCCAGTTGCTTCCTGCACAAACTTAGGGGTCAGTGGCACCACGTCCTGAGCAGCCTCTGTTCTACCTGGGGTCAGGTGCTGTGTGTACCACCCATACTTTTGGAGCCACATAAGCTGCCCAGAACTACACTACCTAAACAGTGAACAGAGAATTGTGTTTACACATCCGGTCTCTACCACATCCACCGGGAGAATTGTGTTTACACATCCGGTCTGTACCACATCCACCGGGAGGCAAGTGCTGAGCCCCTGAGACCACAACATACAATCTTCAATTAAATATGAATACAGTGACACGAGAGTGTCTAGAAGAAAACAGACAATTTTAATCTATACAAAGAAACAACACAGAGTGCCTCAAGTAACCATAATGCAGAGTAAGAAAATTTAATACCAGAAATGGTATCAGAGCTACTTGATATGGAATATAAAAGAATGATATTTAGGTAGCTTCAAGTGATTGAGAGAAAGACTGAGGAAAGCAAGGAGAACACAGAAAAAGCTTTAGAAGAATTCAGGAAACACTACACAAACTGACAAAAGAAATGAAAAATTGGAAACCATATAAAAACAGCAATTAGAAAGCCAAAAGATTAAGCTTAAGGCTTCAGAAACAGATAGCACATTGAAAGGGGAAAAAAGCAGAACTTAATTGATGGAAGGCTGAATTATTAATTTATAATCTTCTGCTAGATGAACAATCAGAAAAAAAGAATGAAAAAAAAACAACACCTAAAGACAGGCTAAGATTTATATGGGACATTACCAACAAGAATAACTTATGTGTGAATGGAATTCCAGAACACGAAAAGACAAAAAAAACATAGAGAAAAACTATCCAAAAATTGTTCAAAGAAACATCCCTAATATCATGAAAGAGAAGACAGCTGTTCAACAAGTTGAATGAGCTCCACACAGGAGAGACCTAAAAATATGACCACAAAGACATGTTATAAATCACACTTCTCAAGATCAAAGATAATTATCCTGAAAACAGCTTAAGAAAAACAAAAAAGTTCCTACAAAGGAGAACTAATAACACTAAGCTCTGATGTCTTAGCAGAAACTATACAGGCAAGAAGACGATGGGATGATGTATACAAAATTCTGAAAAAAATACAAACAAAAAATACTGCCAACCAAGAATCACAGATCTAAACAAAAATGACAGTATGACTGGCTACTAAAGAATAAGCAAGTTGTTCACTGGGAAGCCAACAAGGCAAGCAATCAAGTTCCTTTACGACAAACCCCCTCCAAGACTGAAACTCAAAGGGAACACATGAGCAGGCACATAAGCTCACTGTCAATCTCATTGGTCTACTGGTGAGTGGAAGAGGAGGAAAGGCAACAATGAAGAAATGGGCTTAGTTCAACTACGTTCCATAGACTCCCATTGACCTGGAGATGAGAGAGAAAAGAGGAAGGGCTGGTTGGTCCAAAGTGTGGTGAGACCCAGGGACTCCTGAGCCTATGGACAAGGACATAGCCACAGAGGGCTAGAGCTGTGAGTGAAGCGTCCAGCTGATATGAAGTGAGAAGAGATGCACAAGAACACCCAAACTTGCAGATAGTACCCATTTGACCTAGCTTCAATGGCTTGATAATCAGAACTCAACTAGAGGAAGATTAAAAAAACAAACAAAAAACCCTATTTTTGATAAAGGACATGAGGGTTAATTGCTACAATTTGATGAACTTGACCTATACTCATGAAGGTAATAACTCTTAAATACCAAGTGAGAGAGGAGTCTTCACATCAAGTATCTGTACACAGGGTAGATAGGGACGGGCAACTGAAGACATTGGCTACCTAAAATGAGGGAGCGATAAAGGCACGAAGTGAGTGGCATACAAGGTTTCAAGAGGGAGTTTAAGAGTATGGGGGGAAGAAAGAGTCCCCGCTGAATAGTTTTCATCTTGTCTAGAGGGTCTGGTGAAAAGAGATGGGGATAAGATTTGTATGATTCAATAGGGAGTAACTGTTATGACTAATTGCGACTGTCACAACTGTAAAGGTAGAAATTTTGTAACAAAAACGGGGGTGTAGTTAATCTTACAGTCCAGAAACACAGGACCCTAGGATCATCAAGGGAGATGAGCACAGGCGGAATGCCAGACCTTATCCAGAGAAGGAGCGACACCAGAGACGGAGGCAGAGATAGGGACATGGAGAGAGGGAGCAGCTGAGGACTCTCGAATGGGAAGAGAGGGACTAAGAGCTGGCAGCCAGGAGGCAGACTTGCAGAAAGTGCACTTTGGTGGTGTAAATTATTATATATGCCTGAGTGTTTTTTTAAAAAAAGAGAAAGAGCCAAAATGAATAGAGAAAAACACTGTTAATTGATGGTACATGGAGGGGATTAAAATCATTGTAATGAAACAAAGTATGTGATTGGTTGACTATAAAACTGATGATCTGCCCTGAAAACTTTTACTCAATTCATAATAAAAACATAAAAAAAAAGCCATCATAAATTCAGCAAAACTGTCCATCGAACATGACAGTGAAAATAGGACAATCCCAAATAAACATTGCTATGAGTTAGAATCGACTTGTTGGCATTAAACAACAATAAATCTGTGTTTACTTGTGTTTACTGGGCACTTCTGCTGTTAGCTGTTCAATTAGTCCTTTTCTTGAATTCTACTAATTGTATGTGTGGGTTTGGGTTTTTTGTTTTTGTATTTTTTTGTCCAGGTGTTGGTCGAATGTTAAAGGTTAAATCTGTTCACTTTTATTGTTTCAGTTTTGTGTTTTTTTAAAAAATGGTGAAGACTAGGGAAGTAGCTGGGGTAGGTCTAGGAGTAAGGATTGGTCTAGTTTTAGGGTTCCAGTTCAGTATACATTATCTAACTATTATCTGTCTGTCTATCTATCTATCTCTCTATCTCTCTATCATCTATCTATCTATCTATCTATCTATCTATCTATCTATCTATCTTCTCTCTATCTCTCTATCTATCTTCTATCTATCTCTCTATCTATCTATCTGTCTCTCTATCTGTCTGTCTATCTGTCTGTCTGTCTGTCTGTCTATCTATGTCGTTTTTTTGTTGCTGCTGTTTTTCTTGACATCTACTGTATTTCCTCCTCATTTAAAAGGTCTGTACTTGCATCATTTCCTCTTTTTACTCTATGGGTTTTTTTGTTGTTGTAAACTGATATCGCTGGTTCCCTATTTTCAGTTTTTTAGGTTGTTTTACTTTGAATACTTCTATATCTGTGTTGAGTTCCGGGTGACGTTGCCATGTGTGTTAGCCTCAAGTTATTGGCTGTTGTTGTTGTCTATAGAACTACATTTAGTATTTTTTATATGGTTAGCCAAACCCAGAAAAGCAAGTTGTTGTTAAGTGCCACCAAGTCGGTTCCGACCCATAGTGACCCTGTACAAAGTTTCCAAGGAGCAGCTGGTGAGCTTGCATTAACCCACAGTGCCACACCAGGACTCCATAATAGCAAGTAGCTTGACATATACAAAACTCTGGAAGAAAAAAAAGTTTCAACCAAGAATCATATATCCAGCAAAAACTGTTCATCAAATATGATGGCAAAATTAGGACATTTTCAGACAAACAGAAGTTAAAAGAATTTGTATAAACCAGACAACCTTATAAAAACTACTAAAGGGAGTTCTTTGGACAAAGAATCTACAACAGCAGACAACAAATTGAAAATAACTTATATGACAACATCACACAGAAGCCAACCCAGATATTACTGTTGTGTTGTTAAGTGCCACTGAATCAGCTTTGACTCATAGCAACCCCGTATAGTATTTCCGAGGAGTGATTGGTAGGTTTGAACCATCAATCTTGTGGTTAACAACCCAGTGCTTATACTATAGTGCCAGAAGTATTCAAAGTAAAACAAACCTACAAGACTGAAAATAGGGCATCAGTGATACCGGTTACAACAAGAACATGAAAATTAAAACATGAGGGACACACTATAGTTAAAGAACTTGCAAATGAAGAGAAAATTCTGTATCTAGTAGATTTCAAAAATAAAAATAAAAATAAAAAATAAATAAAAATAAATCTAACTGTAACCATCAAACTAGACCATGCCTTACTCCTAGGCCTAGCCCCAAATCGATCCCTAACACTAACCCTAGTCCTAACCATAGCCCTAATGCTAAATGAAATCCTACGCCTAGCCTAGACCTAGCCATCTTCCTAATTTTTTATTCCTACATCACCTCCTATTAAAAACTCCACAAAACACTGATTTTAAAAGTCTGTATTTGAGACACAGTGTTGTTGTTGAGACACATAAATGATAATTATTGTGTCAAGAAATAAAATTTCATTTAAAAATGCTTAGAATTACGGCTAAGCATCCCTTTTAGGGTTTTTAACAGTAGAGTTTGTTTGTTGATGTTGTTGCTTTTCATTTTCTTCTCAGAATTCCGGAGCCATTTGGACAACTCAAAATTGCCTTTCCTGATATATTCACAAAAATAGATATGTAGTCCCTCCCCCTAATCCCTC